ACCTGTCCTGGGAGAGGTGTTTAAGGTGTCCTGGTTTGGCCCCAGCCGGGAACAAAGAACTCCCACAGCCGTGGGCAAAATCGGAAGGAAAAAGGCAGAAACTCTTTGGTTGAGATAAAAGCAGTTTAACAGAACAGCAAAAGCAAGAGAAAACAACAATAACACCGGTAAAGGAATATACTAACATGATTACAGTGCTGCTGCTCCCTGACTGGACCCGGACCACCGAAGCCCCCTCCAAGCCTCGACTTCTTCCCCCTTCCCCGGCTAGCTCCCCCCTCCAAACCTGGGCATGGGTCACATGGCATGGAATACCTGTATCCCCTGCTGGCTCCTTGGGAAAATTAACCCCATCCCTGCCGGAACCAGGACAAAGGCCAGGTTGGATGGGGCTTTGAGCAGCCTGGTCTAGTAGAAGGTGTCCCTACCCCTGGCAGGGGGCTTGGAACTCAATGATCTTTAAGGTCCCTTTGAATCCAAACCATTCTATGGAAAGAGGCTTGTCCTTGAGGAATAGTTCTGTTTGGATGTGATCGTGTCAATCAGGGTCTATCATATAAGATCTCTTGCTGTGGACATCCTCATTTGTTCTTTCTACATTGCTGCTGTTCTGTGCAAACTCTGTGTAAAAGGACAAAGGTGATGCATGTGGTGCTACTCTTGGCACAAAAGGAGACCTTTGTGTTTGGGAGGGGTTTTGGTCACTTTCTGAAATTGCCCTAGCTTCTGTTTGAAGGGACCAGTCCCAAAGTTACTTGTGATACCAATGTACAAAAGAAAAAGCAGAATATTTTTTTCATTTTTCTCTAGTAAGTATTACAAGAAGCTGAACTGGTTGTGAAGGCTGTTTTTCATCAGTGAAGACAAAATTTCAGTTCACTCAGTGCTTAAACCTCCTAACCAGGCTTGTCAATGCTTAAGTCTGGGCTTTTCCATTAAACTAGAAGTCTTCAATCGGAGACCTTTTACTCTGCCCTTAGCAATCAGGCTCCATGCCATACTACTGTTGTTTCAAACAAAGAAATGTCATAATACCAACTCTAAAAGATACCTGTATCAAATCTAAAGGGCCGCGGCAATCACATTCATTAATCACATTGTATTTTGACTACCTTTATGTGTTTTTTGGTAGTATTGTAGAATTCTTGCACCATGTGGTTGACATGCCTGTTCCAGGATTGTCCCAAAAATTCTGTCCCTATTATATCTTCATGAGTAGTAAGTTGAAACTCTATCATTCTGTTGATATCTGTCCCAAGACAATATCTCGACATATCTAGACAGAATAAGTTAATAATTAATATAGTATAAAAGGTAATAAAAGAGTTCCTTAAAACTTAAACATCATGTCAAGACCAGTTACTGCTGTTTGTTTCTGAAAGTATCTTGATGAACCATAATAGAAGAACAAATCTTTATAAAAAAACAATCCGCTTAGCGGAAAAGCCTGAGAGATTCAGGTCGTATTCCATAAGACCTTTGAAGGCTTATGTTGAATACCTCTAAATTAAAATATTAAGACATTACTCACAGCAGAATGGTTCTAGAAAAACAGCAAAAAGCTTCCCACTCCTCTGTTTTACTAGATAAAAAAGCTTCTCTAAGGCCTTACTCCATGAGTTGATACAGTGCTAAAATCTGAAGTTGCTCTTCTCTGTCTCAGGCTGTTTCTTGAACAGAGAAAACAGGTGCTTCCCCCTGGCCTTATTTAAACTGCTTAAGCCTCACTTCACACTTCCTCTAAGCATTGTAGAATTAATGCCCAGCCCTCACCAATTAAAACTGACATAATTGTGAAGCTTATTGTTGTTTGCTAATCTTCTTGTGCCATTGGGTGGTCCAAGTTTTTATGTTTTCATAGAAAATCAAAGCGCTTTTTTCTTTGCCATCTTTGCTTCTTTCTGCTCAGCCCAAAGACATCGTGCTGGAATGGGAATACAAAGAAGTTAGTAGATAAAAACAAGGGCTCTATTTATACAGAAGACCTGATTCACAGCTGATACTCCAGTCTTGATTGTGCTTGTACTATTTACTTGAAGGTTAGGAAAATGCTTGAAAACTTGCCTGACTATCATGCAGTGTAATTATCCATCTACGAAGTAGACACCACAGAATTTTCAGGTAGGTTTTCTTCCTGCTGCTAGGAAGAAACTGCTTGCAGATAACTGGAGAATTAAGGAAAAATTAAGAAAACGGAAGAAAATTACCTCAAGACATTTCAAATTTGTAAACATATGAACTCAAAACAGACTCCAGGTTTAGTCTTCCTGGGTTAAAAAGGAAGGAATCCATGGTATGTTTTTTCTTTGTTCTGAAAGGAGGGAGTCCCATGAGGTAAAGAACGAACCTGTTTTGTGGTTTTGCTCTCCTTTCTTTGAGAGGAAATGAAAGGAATAGGAAGAAAACAGTTTCCATTCCAGAATAAATCCATTAAAAGGAAATACAGATTTTTGAATAGCCTTCAGTCAGAATGCTAAGGTGCCAGAGAACATACATAAAAATAAATGTTCAGGATGCTTTTAAAACAAGAATTGACATCACACCTTCTGTCCAGAGGAAGAATTATTTAATATAGCTACTTAATTCCTCACAATAGAATTGACCTCTGTGATCTCAGTTAATGTGTTCAAATGTAGAATTTACAAAAAAGTTTGATATTGCAGGTTCCTTTGAGTAGGTTTCCTTCTAGCAGGTGATTGCTCTGGGGGGAGAAAAACAGTTCTGTAAGTTGCAACTTCATATAAAGTACTAGATTCTTCTGTAAATCCTCCCAAAAAAACCTCAATTATCTTGATTTTGGCTGTGAACTCCATGGGCTATGCAGACTGTTATGAGGGAAACAAACAAAAAAAAATCTTTTAAATGTTTTCTTTTTTACCCAGAACTCCTTACAGCTGTCTGTATGTACCCTTCTTTGGGTCATAGTCTTTACGTTGTCTCATCTGAAGTTTTGCATTTGTTTAATGTAAAGTTGAATTGAGAGAGTGTTGGCATTCACAGAGCACAAACGGAAGTGGTCAGACTGGAGAGTATTGAATTGCACTAGGCAGTGTTACTTCACATTATAACTTGTGGTTTTTGGAAAGATAATTTTGAAGGGTTTGTCTGTTAATAAAGATGGGTCATGATATACTTTCAGTATAAGTAAAAGATTTTTTTCCTTTCTGATACTTATTCACTTTGCAGTTTACATGCTGTAAAATGAGTCATTTTTTTGTTTATTAGATATTTTAGGTCTATGAAATGAAATCCTGCAAAAGTCATTCTGGCACTTTGGACAGATGCGGGCATAGGGCTCAGCTGCTATAGGCTTCTAAAGTTGATGACAGCCTTAAAATAAATAACCGAGTACTATGTGGAAGGATAGTGAATGTCAATTTTAAGTTGGTTGTCAGAATAAAGGCTATTTTATCACTGGCTGCCACAGGGCAAAACTATGTTATTTCTTATGCTTCCAACTTTGCCCTTGTTGTTCTGGGGTTCTCACCGCATGGACTGGCAAACCAGGGATATCATTTAGGCTGTATACACGTACTTTTTTGTCGATCTTCATAGTGCATTCTAGTTAAGTTTTTGTTTAGGAAGCCTTATACTAGCAATAACAAATACTCAGCCACACTTTTTCAGATATGCATTTGCACAGACCAGGATCATATTATTTCTGGCCTGGATTATTTTGTGGGATTTAAAACTTTAGTTAAAAAAAATACCAAAAAAACAACACCACACAAACACACACCTAAAATACAAACAACCCAAACACAACAAATGATCTTTGTCTTGTATCAGTTTAGTGATTGTGATGTATTTATATAAATGCTTTTCCTTCTAAGTCATGTTAAGGCTATAAATTGTTTTTTCTCTCTGTTTTTTATTTTGTTAGAAATGAATCTAATGTTAGAAACACTTTGTCAATTACTTGCTACTGATCAGTTATTTATGGTTTCCTTCTCACTCAGAAGGTAAAGACTTGATAGCATCAGTTTGTAGAGTATTTTCCAAATATTGTCAGGCCTGTGTCTGGCTGTGGTTAGAAAGAAAAGGAAAGGAACAAGTAAGAGACTTGCTTTTGATGTCCTGCTAACATGTTAAATAGACTTCTGTGCTGTCAGCTATGTAAGACTGTTCATAGTTATACTTACGTGAAATATGAAAACATAATGGAAAAGTAGTACGCAATGAGGCTTGTTCTTCAGTTTTCATTCAGTAGTCTTCATAAAAATAGGAATGCCATTATGAAATGGAAGACTGTTTTAGCTATGGTTATGGTATTTGCACATACTTGTGAATCCTAATGACTGCATACTTCTGCTTTTAACTTAGTTGCTATTGTTGTTTCTTGTCTGCCTATTAAAATGATAGCACTTACATATAGAATCATTTTGGTTGGAAGAGGCCTTTAAGATCATCAAGTCCAACTGTTAACCTCGCACTGCCGAGTTACCACTAAATATGTGCACACTTGTCTTGATTTGAAGACACTGGATCTTCTCTACATATAGCAACTATATAACCCTCTGATCAGCAAGTTGCTTGTCCTTTATTGATTTTTTTATCTGTGAATTCAGAGATGCAAAGGCAAAATACAAGGCAGCAGTACATAATGAAAAGAAGTTTATATGACAAAAGAATTGGTTCAGTACCTGCACCTCCTATTCTTCTCTCGTTGGCACTTGTAGGATCTTCAACCTTGCCAACTATAATTTTGTATTTAAAATTCCCACTTCCACATTTACATTATGGAACAGAGGGTCAGTAATGAAAAAAAAAAAAGTGAAATGAAAGCAAACATGGTTTAGTTTCTCTTCTAGTAAATGAACAAACAGGACCTAAGCTGTCGTTGTGTCACATGATGCTTACCTTTCTTACCTTAGGGTCTATGTCTATATCCTTTAAGGTTTCTTCTTTTCAGAGGAAGAATGTGTAATGATAAGCATTGCTTCTTAAAATATAACTGCTTTATTTCTTGTTCTTCTTCCTACTTTCCTCTTCCTGTACAGTGGAGCAGATTACTATGACTATGGCCATGGACTGAGTGAAGAAACATATGACTCTTACGGTGAGTAACTTTATGAGGTGAACGACTACAGTAGTAGACTCTTGAAAAAATAATCAAAAGAGAATTTCCATAAGGCAAGCTTCAGTTCTGCAGTGGGTAACAGCTGCTCAGGGATTCTTGCACTGTCACAGAGCTCCTCATGTGGTTATTGAGGAAAATACAGAGGGAGGTTTCTGTGGTCTATTAGCGAACATAGTCATGTGAAACTAAAATCAAATAAAAATATGTAAATCATGCTTCAGATACCCTTCTTATGTCATGTTCAGTGAGATTTGAGGAAAAAAATGGGGGTCTGAGACCTCTTTTCAGGAGCTGTTTGCAGCTGGAAGCAAATGCTTCTAGTGTGGCACAACTGGTGTTGAAATTTAGTACAAAGTAAGAATATGATGGAATTCTCAGCTGAATTGGGGTCTAATTGAGTGCGTTTTAGACTTGTATGGTCTTTTTGTGTTAGGTTCATTTTCATGCATCAGTCTTGTGAAATCAAGCAGGGAGTCATTATGTAAAGGTTATGAAATTACTTTAGGTAGCTAATAGGCATGAGGGCAGTGGGTTACTCATATGGAGACAAAACAATGCGTAATGAAGCAAAAAACATATGCCGATGGTAAAGATTACTTTTTTTTTTAAGCTAGAGTGTAGTAGTGACAGGTTTAATTAAAGAAATCTGTTACGGATTAGAAGCATAAAGCATGTTAAAAGGCACCTTTGCTTAAAGGATAAATGTTAAATCTCTGGCTAGAGATCACAGAAATATAAGCCAGATCGCTCAAATCTCAAACATTTGAGGATTGTTAGTAATTAGTGTAAAAGAGTTGTGATTCTGGGTAATGGATGCTTCAGTGATTTTAGAGCTCTATTTAAAATTTTCCATGCTGTATTTCTTGAACTCCATTTGGAAGTGCTTCCTGCTGAAACCTGCTGAAAACTAACATGACCTCAGCTAAGTTGTTGTGATAAATGCACCTAATACAGAAGTTTGCTCAATGTCGTCTGCTTAAACTAATTATTTTGCCTAAGGGGGAAAGTCAGTTCTTCAGAAGAAGAGGTCACTTCAAATTCCTCTGTCCCCCACCACTTTCAGTTGGTCTGGATAGATATATAGCTTAAATCTTTTTCAGCATTAAAATAAACTATTTGCCATTATAAACCTGATAATTCTAAGACTATTCCATGAATGCAAAATTGATGGTGGAAAAAAATGTATGAAACTTGTTAATGTAGACAGAGTTGACTGATAGGGAAAAATGTGGATTGCAGTATTTAAGGTTGAAAATATGGATTTTTCATTGCTTTTGCATTTAAAATTGGTTTTCTGTTTATCAAACACAGCCACTCAGAATATTAAGTGATGTATTTACTCAAGTTGAGTGGAAGACTATAAATACCTTGAACAATGATTATGCGTTAAGCCACTGAAGTTTTTGCACTTACAAATAAGTAGTTATACATTTTATTTCTTAACTAGCTAACCCTCAAGTAAAATGCAGAGTTAGATACTAATAATCATCCTTAAAACATGTCAAGAACATTAGGTGCCTCAAACTAAAGGTTGTGAGACTGCATGGTGAGCAGATCACAGAATCAGAATCACAGAATGGTCAGGGTTGGAAGGGACCTCTGAAGATCATCTAGTCCAACCGCCCTGCAAGAGCAGGTTCACCTACAGCAGGTTGGGCAGGACAGCGTCCAGGCAGGTTTTGAGTATCTCCAGAGAAGGAGACTCCACCACCTCTCTGGGCAGCCTGTGCCAGTGCTCTGCCACCCTCAAAATAAAGAAGCTTTTCCTCATGTTCAGGTGGAATTTCCTGTGTTCCAGTTTGTGCCCGTTGCCCCTTGTCCTGTCACTGGGCACCACTGAAAAGAGTCTGTCCCCATCCTCTCAACACCCACCCTTCAGATATTGATAAGCATTGATGAGATCCCCTTTCAGTCTTCTCCAGGCTAAAAAGACCCAGGTTTGTCAGCCTTTCTGTATAAGAGAGGTGCTCCATTCCCCTGATCATCTTTGTAGCCCTTTGCTGGACCCTCTCCAGCAGTTCCCTGTCTCTTGTGCTGTGGAGCCCAATACTGGACACAGTACTCCAGGTGTGGCCTCACCAGGGCAGAGTAGAGGGGGAGAATAACCTTCCTTGACCTGCTGGACACGCTTTTTTTAATGCACTCTGAGATACCATTGGCTGCCTTTTCCACAAGGGCACATTGCTGCCTCATGCTCAACTTGTCCACCAGGACTCCCAGTCTCTCCCTGCAGAGCTGCTTTCCATCAGGTCAGCCCCCAACCTGTACTGATACCTGGGGTTATTCCTCCCCAGGTGCAGCACCCTATACTTGCCCTTGTTGAACTTCATTAGGTTCCTCTCTGTCCAACTCTCCAGCCTGTCCGGGTCTTTCTGAATGACAGCGCAGCCTTCTGGTGTGTCAGCCACTCCTCCCAGTTTTCTTTTTACTGCCTAGGCATATGTTCTGACCACCTCAGCATCATATATAACCTAGGGTCTGAAGGCAACCACCTCCATTTTTAAAAATAAAGTAGCTAGGATGAGACTTTTGTGAAGAGTTTGTGACATTAGACCCTCGACTTACAGGATTCTTGTCACCTAATTTCATATATCTACTGTCTGAGGAAGTTACCACTCAAAGTACAGGGGTTCTTTGACTGTTTACTTCCATTTTTTTATTTTTTTTTTAATTGACTAGAAAGATAACTATCTACTGTCTGAGGAAGTTACCTTACCACTCAAAGTACAGGTGTTCTTTGACTGTTTACTTCCATATTTTTAATTTTTTTTTTTAATTGACTAGAAAGATAAAGTGATACCTACATCTTAGATTACCATACCTAGTCATTTGGATTCCACGCTTAGTTTCTGGATTGCGCTGGGTTCACTTGGACACTGGTCTGCTTAGGGCAGGGCAGTTCTCCAAAACCAGACCTGGAAACACATAAACTCTTTTCAGGTGTGTTTGCTTTTTGAGTTTTGTTTCTTCTCTCAGGGGCAATACTCTGCTTTGTTTACTTGATTTAAATGCACCTAAGTACTGTTGCATTATACTCTGCATTGGTCCTGTGTCTTCTCTTTTGTTGTAAATGTGTGGCACAGTAGGTCTGATTCTCATTTATTAAGACAATACTTTGCTACTTCTTGTTAATTTTTATTACCAATAAAATGTGGCAGGTTTATGCAGCATTAAATATAACACAAGCTTTTAAAAAACTTATTTTGTCAAAATTCAAACCAGCAATCTCCCTTGCCCTTTTAATTTTTTTTATAATCTGCCTTCCTATTTCTTGCGTTTTAGAAGTGTATGTTTACAGTGAAGTTGAATATTACCCCTAGATTATTAGAAGCCCCAGGTGTGTTTAGTGATACTTGAGGCTTTGCACTATTGGATTGCATATTTGAATTAAGCCTAAATTGGTACTGATGCAAAGAAACTTATTTTTGAGGGTAGCGTATTTGCTTATACATAATTCATATCCTCCATTCATTTCATCTGAGCATAATTACTTGTAGGTGTGCTGCTATAGCTGGCATTTCTGTGTATTTGCAATAAGCAGGTCCAGCTGAATGCCAGAGCCCTAAATATTTTTGCCGTTAGCCTGTCACACTCCCTGCCATTATGTGCTGAAAAAGCCTTGTGGGGTAGCTCATAAAGATGTGTTCTACCCAGATTTTTTTTTGTTGTTCAAGAGTTAGACTTTACTTTGTAAACCTTGGTTTCAGTAGATAAAATGTTGCTACCTAATTCACAATTAAATAAGGAAAAAGTAAATACAGCATCCGAGAACACTGGAAGGGGTCTAACTATATTTTTGTCTTCTTGTAGGGCAAGAAGAATGGACCAACTCAAGACACAAGGCACCTTCTGCAAGGACAACGAAAGGAGTCTACAGAGACCAGCCATATGCCAGATACTGATTGTACTGTCTGATGTTGTGAAATATCCAATCTCCACCAGTCCTGTATACTGTTCAAAGTAATTTTTTCTATGAACAATCCCTTTTTATTAAATCAAAGCGCTTAAAAAATCTGAATGGATGGACTGAACTTAAAATACTTTGTTGAAAGAACAACCTGGACAGAAAGATATGTAAAACAAGGAACTTTGTTATTTCCAAGCTGTATTTGAAAAAATAGGCGATCAAAAAAATAACCTTTGATTAACTAGTGTTAAACAAAAAATAGGTTTACTAAATATGTTAGTCCATTCTTTTAACATAAGCGTAACCTTTTATTTTAAAGGTTTTCAACAATTTAGTTTTTAGTTTTTATTTTCAGCCATTTGCTAGTTTTTCTCTTTGCAAACATGCGTAAAAAGGGAAGCAAATTACAAATGCAAATAATGTGGTATTTTGTAACACAAGTCTTGAAATGTTCTGTAGTGTTAAGCAAAGTTTTACCCTTGCTTGATACTAAATAAACTTTTGAAAGAAAATCAGTGTGTGTGAGATTAATTTTATGCTTTATCTTATAATAAAACTTCATAAATAGTAGTAAACAGGGAGAAATACGTTTAACAGTGATCAGCATAAAAGGCTCATATTAAACATTGCGCAACTTCTTTAAAAAATTGGTATAAACCTAAATGTATATATATATACTCACAGTAGATATAAATGCTGTTTAAAGTATCCAAATGGTATGGATCTGCTTGAGTGCCACATTAAATCAAAATATTTTTGTTAAAAATGGTTTAAAATAGCTAATGAATTTTCTGAAAAAGATGTGACTAGTTTTCATCTTGTTGAGCATTTTTTCACTAGTGCAACTTTGGAATTTTTATGAGAATTTTGGTACGTTAATGACCACCTCGCTCCGTGCTGGAAGCAATAAACACAAAGCTTTTAAAGACTTTCTGACTTGACTAATTGAGGTCGCTTTCGTCAGAGGCAGAGGATGTGTAACCCTTAAAACGGTCTTCATTTGCAAAGGTAAATAAATCAAATAAGATTTTAATCTCACTTAATTTATCTTAATATAACCAATAAAAACAGGGAGGGTACAACTTAGAAAGTTTCATTTTAGAATGTAGGAAAGACTTTAAGGACACCTAAATTCTCATTTTAAAACGTTTAATTTGTGTTAGTAATCTAAAAAGCCTTAGCTTAGCTAGTTAAATTTGGACAAACTATTCCCTATTAAACAACTGTAAAACCTCATAACCAATAGTTTGTAATATATTATTTTTCCATAAATTCGAGTAACTTAAACATTACAAATGTTATCTAAAGCTTTTTGTTAATCATTAATTTTCTATTAATTATAGTTTGATTTACATTGTTTTCTTTAGTTTTTATTTGAAAGTCTTTGAAATTTAGTAAAAATATCTTTTCTTTTCTCTTGTCAGGAAACCCATCTCCTTGGACAGCCAAGAGAACAAAAACCTGTATCTTCAGATGCTTTGGTAGGTATATTTACTCACCTGTGAAATCATTAGAGAAATAATGGAGCTTTTGATCAGGTCCTTAATTCTTTATACACAAGGCGTTAATTTACATAATTACAGGTACTGAGCTGGAGGTCAGCAAAAATCATTGGCTGTGATCAGTTCTGGGGGGAAAAGTCATAGTTTTAAACTATGATTAAACAGGACATTAAACAGTCCCAGTGTGTGGACACTGTCCTCTGGCTGTTTGTTTATTGAAAGGCATATGTAGCTTTGACAACATTTCAACCAATTGGGTATTTCATTGGGCAGAGGAAGGTGAAAGACACAATGTAATTTTATGCTAATACAGTTCAAATGGGAATTTAAAACTTTAATGTGGTCAGCAAACATGTCTAAAATGGTTTTCTAAAGCTGAAGAAAGCATTTTGTACAATGATTTTCTAAGTCAAGCATTTCTGCACAAGGAGTGCACTGATTTTTGGCACAAATGAAGGAGAACAAATCCATTGAGAAATGTTAGCTGAAGAAAGCGAACTCTGTTGTTTCTGGTGAACTCAATATATAAACTAAGAAATAATTTAACTGTATTTATGCGCAGATTGTGTATATTTTTAACAGAACAGATTTTTTTCTTTATTTCCTCCTTGGAATCGTAATTTTTCCTGCTAACCTTGTGATCTCAGTGCCTTTAGTTGATGTGACTTAGATGAACAGAGCTGTATTCTTTGAAATATTGCATACATTGCACTGCTGCCGTATACCATAGTAAATTTAAGAGACTGCTGTCACAGGGTAAAGGAACTTTTTGTACATACAAAATGCGTTCAGAACAATTTTAACAGTATTTTAAAGATTTAAAGCAAAGGACCCTTTTAAGTGTAGAAGAGCTTGGAGAAGATTTCTGCCCTCTGTGGCTCAAAGGGCAAAGATTGGATACCAGCTGCTAGAACTGTTATGGCAAAACTGAATATATAAACATCCTTCAAAAATATTTGTAATGGAATTGGCCAAATTTCCATTACTGTTCACATCTTAAATCATGTAATGAGTTGCATAAGTTCTAATAAGCTTTCATTTGCAAAAATAACGTTTTACATTAACCATGAGTTGAAATTAAAGTATCCAGTAGCAGGGATGGCTAGTAGACAAATAAATGAATCAGAAGTGAATTCAACCTCCTGTAATATTTATCCAACTCTTTTTTTTTTTTCTTTATGCCATCTTTCCTTAGTTCCTCCTATATGGAGGATGAATGTGTCAGTATGCATTTGTGCACTTTTCTGCTACTCTGCCCTGAAGTCGTAAAAACCCTTAAATTGTTCCACGTTCCCTTTTTGGGTGTAGGGAGGGTGGAAGTGTGTCCTTGTCAAATCTGCAGAGGGTTTTCAGGTGCACTATTGCATGATAGAATGTCGTATGACTGGATGTTGCAGGTCATATGAGGGAATTAAAAGAAAAATCCCCTCCTGACTAAGAACACACTAATCCTATGGTCAGAAGTGATCATTTTGGGCATGTGCCATGTGTGCTTCTGACAGACCATGGAGTTGTCCATGGCTGTATGGTGCTCCAATTAAGTACCTATGTCCCACCTTGACAGAAAAGTTAACTGTTTTAGTCCAATCTTACTTGCTTTTTTTAATGAGTAGCAAGGTCTAGATTTGATACATCTAAGAAAAAAGTCTGCATATATTGCATGATAGTGGTATAAATTCTAAATCTGCTAAGTCTTCCTTCTTCCAATGCTCCACATTGATATTTCTCCTAAGAAAATGTTTTCATACCTCTTTAAAAAAAAAAAAAGTGTCAATTCTCATGTCCTACACATGTGTCCACAATAAGCTACATCCGTTCAAACAGCTGGTATTATATATTCTTAGAAACTACCTATTTGTAGTACAAAACTTCTCTTGACTGTTCCTGGAATAACATGCACTAGCATTGTGTCCTGCTATTGCATTTTCGGTGTCTTTTTATTTGTTTGTTTGGGTTTTTTTTACTTCAGAATAATCTATGCAAAGAAAACCCTTTAGGGTTTGAAGAGGGGAAAAAATAATCTAAAAAGATCCCTAAATTAAAATAAAAAAAACCAACCCAAAAAAACAACCAAAACCAAACAACCAACAATGTGGAAGGCAGCCTTTCTTTTATTGTGACAAACTAACCTAGGAGTGTTTCTCCATTCTAGTTGGATTTTGTGTTCTGACACCGGTCAATTTCTGTGTTACTTGTCAAACAAGTAATGTTAATGATTATAACTAACCATATCATTAATTTGCCTTTATTGAACCCTTTTACCACGTTTGCACTGAATTTCAATGATAGCAGTTTCTGCAGTGGTTTCCATAAATCTACATACATTTATTATGTGCATAATTGCCTGATCCCGCTGCTTATAATGTGACAGTCTTCAGAGAATTCATAGTTGCTAGTGTCGGGATATATACAAATAAATTATATTTTGCTCTTTTTCAGGAACTTCTGCCATGTTAATTATGGACTGCTTAGAGCATTGTACTTAGCCGTGTGCCTAGACAAGACCGAGACAGGCTACGGAGTATGAAAACCCTATTCTGTATTTCTTGTATTAAAGCCTTAAAGTGTATAATACTATACACTTTTTAAAATAATTGTATACTTAAACTCTTAATTGTTTAGTGATGCAACAGTGTTTTGTTTGGAGCTCAATAAAGACTTTTCATTTAAGTTCCTGTTACAAAGCAATAATGCAACCTCATGTTCCTTTAGTGTTTCTTTTTAGCCTTATGCAGCAAGTGTAAGAGAGTGTGTGAAGTCTCATGACTAGAATTTAAATGCTTTTGGAAGTAGCTTCTCTAATGCATGAACAACATGGATAAGTTAAAATGAAGACTGGTGGTTTATGCTGAAGCTTTTCTTAATAGCTGCTTGTAAACAGGTCTACTCCAAACAAGACTCTTGGGTAGAAATGATACTCCAACTTCTATTTCTTTCCGAAAGTTGTATAACACAGAAGTGTTTTAATCCCTGTCAGTTATACTACGCTGCTTATTCTCTTTCACTTGGTGTTTGATGCATAGAAATGTTTTCTGTAATATACAGCCACAGGTTTTCTAGTAGTAGTCTTGGATGAGGCTTTTACACCTTGATAAATCTTGTATCTAACAGTCACATTTCCTTAGTGCTTTCTATGTTTTATATTAATTGTGATTGTGATAATTTGTAACAGAAATAAAATTCTGATAATTTGATTTCTTGTGTTCTTTTTCCTAAATACTGCTTGCGAAGTACGAGTTTCCCATTCCTCAGTTATGTTTCCATCAGATGCATTTTTCTTCACTGAATCTCATACTCATCCCGAGAAAAGCATAATTTGGTTGTCTCACTTATTTTATTTTGAAAATAAGCAATATCACTTAATAGCTTCACACCAAATGCCTTCTCTTCAACATATACATGCTAATACCATATACTGACTATTGAAGAACAGCTTTGAAATTTATGGGGATGTGGAGAAAATTAAGACTTCCTATTAACCCTGGCACCGATCAGTGTCTTGAGTAAGATATCATTTGTAATAGATGAAAAAAAACTTTGACAGTAGACAAAAAAGTCTGTATTTTTAACCTTCAAATATTTAAGGTGGTTTTATCAGTTAATCTCGGGAAAGATTTTTCCCTGCCATCATCTCTCACTGTACTACAACTGTGTTTCTGTAATGTTTTCCACAACAAGTAATAGTAAGTATTTAAATATAAGTAAAAGCAAAATCCGAAAACCTTTGAGTAAGCGCAGGAGATGTATAATAATGATTCCTGTCAGACTGACAGACAGGAACCTCTGGTGTGGAACAGCACCGAACATTTTAAATGCTAGCCAAGTATAAAAATTGTATATAGATACTGTGGGAGGAATTTAGATAAGCAGAATGCAATTTCTGTAACTCGGACTGGACGACAGGATTACCAACACAATCTCATTTGAGGAGTGCTATGAACTATGTAATGGGTGAAGTATCAAGCCTTCCACTCTGGACTCATGAAAAACAGAGCTTCTTAATGTCAATA